GAGGATGATCTTGAACGAATGTCGCTGCTTTGTCGGTGCGTTGTCTGGAATAGCATGTGTACAACGCTGAGCTTACGTTTCGCCAACCAAGCTGCTCGGTATCTGTCTGGTTTGGAAACTCGGGAGTCTCGGCTTCGATACCTACCCGTCAATTTGAATTGTTGTTGGACGTCTTAAGTTCACCTGGCCATGCTTGCTTTCTTTCAGAATTGGCGTCAGAATAGCCCAAGAATATATTGCTGCATGTTGGCGCGGGTGGAAGTATAGATAAGGAGGACATGTAGACTAACGGAGGATGATAACGGATGGTAATAGCGGATGATGACGGGATTGTGGGGCTCTACTTGCGGGCCGCATAGGACCTTTGTGGCGATGCAGTTGTAAATCAGCCGCTGTTTAGGCGCCCATCTATTGTACATACACTAACAGGTACGGCATGGTGCTATGTATATGCATCGCCCTGGCAGATGCCTGAGATCAACATCCCCCATGCCTTACGTACTGTACTGTACTGTACTGTACAGGTATCATTAGTCTACACTAAAGCTTCATTGTTGCCCGCCAACATGTCGGTACCTAACGCACGCTGTGCTTACTAAGGTACCTACATGATATGCATTAACTACATGTACATCACCTAACGCGCTGATCCCTAAAAGTACTTGGGTAAGGTGATCGGAACGTCGTTGCAAGTTCGCCAACAACCATGAAAATGAGAACCTACTTACCTCCTTCCCTAATATAGTATTAGAAATGATCATGATAAGAGACACATTCGCCCTTAGCTATTGAGGATTTATCTCATCTAACAGGCCAGTACTTCATGCATTCAAAAGCCAAGATCCAAGGACTTAGGAACAAACTCTCCAGTGTTTCAATGCAGTGCCTCTCGGAGATGAAATTCCATCATGCATTTGCTCTAAGCCTAATTTAGTAGTTCTCCATACTAAAGTCCGCCATGCATGCACCTCAGCCCTAAGTAAAAAAAGAAATATTTTCATTGGTTCGCACTAGGATCTCTCATCATCCGAGATTCCCGTATCCACTCACACGTGGGGTGTAGATCTAACCACTGGAGTCACTTGTATTCAAACCTCGCGATAGCTTCAAATTATTGCTCTTTTCGCAGCATGGTCCTTGCTGTGTTGTTGCGCTTTTTATGTTAATTTCTCGAGTGTGACTTGCGGCTTATCGGTCTTTAATATCATTAGGCTCAGTAGTCTAAAGCCCACGGTGTTTACTACTACTATGTTCAGCACTACGTAGGTACAACCCGCATGCCACAATAGTCAGACGTAGCAAAAGCTTGTTAATGTCTAGAAGGCGCTAAATCTAGCAACTGAAATGCTCTCAGGGAGCTATATTCAGAACGGTTTACTGGGTAGCTTGTCATGCATAGCGTTCGTGCATGCCTGTCTTTCCCTATAGCATTCTTCTGCTTAAAGACAGGCGCTCGACGACAGGTAAAAGTATAGTCTGCGGCGTCACGTAGACAAGAAAAGAGAAGGGGTTTATCAAGTAGAAGTTATCTAGACGGATTCCTTAATACCAGTTCCAGGGTCTAATCTTGAATAAGAGGCATTCAAGACAGCGAAAATACCATTACATGACAACTCTAACCGAGAAAAGGGTCACACCGCACCAAGCTGGCTGGGTTACTGGTTATGGCAACAGCAAAGTAACTTATTTCCTGGCTGGTAGAGAGCCGGCAACCGCATGCGGGGATCCCTCGAGGTAACCCAGTCGGCAAATGGCGGTTTGCTTGCAACGCATATCTACTTCAGACGACTGCCCCAACAATGACTGCTCGCCCAGTCAGATATCCAAAGCAACCAATCACATCGCTAGCTGGTGATCCCATGTCCTAGAATCATTGTCTACTTTCAGCATCATGCATGGGAGAGGCTGTAGATAAGATCCACGTCATGCCATATCTGTACGCCTTGAGCTACCTACCCCTCTCGTAAATGTTGGTGCCAGCCTGGTCCGCGACCTATCGGGAGGATACAGCCATCATATCAAAATAGGGTAGTAGATAAGTCTAGATATTCTATAGGTTTCTTGATCTTCCCCGCGCCTTCGTGCATCAATGCGCCTCGGGGGCCTCGGCCTATAGGAAAACACACGGGGCTAACACGTACATGCAAACTACCAATTCCGCCTATAGGCATCTTTAATGTATTCAGTTCATTCGGTTGCATTCTCGCTTACGGAATGGCATGGTTTGCAAGTATATAAACACAGCCTTCGGCTGTCCAATTCTCTCGTTCTCCATCTCACAATAATCAGTATCATCACGGCGCGCTCCTCTCCAAGTACAATATGAAGCCTACCACGCCTTTTGTCACCGCAATACTCGCCTCCACATCCATTGTGAGCGCTGGTCCAGCCGCATATGGTATCTGTCAAGCTGGCTGTGCGGCTGTCGTGACAGCATGTTATGCGGCAGGGGGTTTTACTTGGGGGGTGACGGCCGGTCTCTCAATACCAGCAACCATCATCGCCTGTAATACAGCGTTCGGCACCTGTCAAGCCGCCTGCGTGAGTAAATCCATGTTCTTCTTGCTTTGACAACTTTCAGAGTACAAGCTTTCCCCCTTTGGTCCAAGAAGGTGTCTGAAAGCTTCTTGACCACTCGCGAATTGCGCCCCCAATGGCTATGACTGACTCTGAGTATTCTAGTGGGTTGCTGCTATCGCCCCGACGCCTTGAGGCCGATGCATGTGTGTGTGTGTGCCCACCAACCTATGATATGCTAAAAAATATATTATTAAGACTCGATTACTGATTATCGACAGTACGCGACGTAAGCTAACTGATTTGCTCGTGCTTGGATGGATAACATATGGCATTATGCTGCCACTGTCGCAGTTGCAATACTACCTTACGCAGGGTGTCACGAGGTGCCGGAATGATATGTATCGACATAGGAGGCCATGTGAATTATTGTTTTCATGTTTATTTGCGCATAAATATCAGTCGCTCTACGCTTTGACTACCTAATACTCTGATATCGAAAGAACTATATGGCCCACTGTTAACACCTGATTAGCTCGACTCTATATCAGAATCACTCAATCTTGACTCCCAGTGCCTCGTATATTGCACCTATGTATGCTTTGGACGCTGTATTTCCGATGACTGAGGCCGATCTCTTGTTCATGGCATAAGTAATAGTGACTTTGCGACCGATATCCATGATACCGAGAGAGCCGCCCGAGCCACCCCAATAAGCAATGTCGCCCGTAGGCATCCAATCACCGACCCAGTCCCCATCGCCTTTAATAGCATATCCAATGCCGAACCGAATGGGCGATCCGATAGCGAGATCCGTTCCATTAGATTGTTCCTCGAATATTAAGTCGACAGTCGACTTGGACAGCAGTTGCTTGCGCGTGCTAATACCCTCGCGACCTGCAAGCGTGACGGTGGATAGTATTTGGCTCATCGCGTGCGCGTTAGTGTAACCATTGGAAGCGCCGATCTCTCCTTTCATCCATGCAGGGCGTCTCCCTATGTCAGGGGGCATCATGGGATTTGCGATCGCTTTCATAAAGAGGGGACCAGGCTTAAAGTCTGGGTTCGGCCCCGACGGAGGTGTTGTCTTAGCAACACGAGGCACATCTTTCTCTAAGATGCCGAGTTGGAAATCGGCACCCAGGGGCGCTGCGATTTTCTCCGTGATAAACTGCTTCAGACCCATTCCCGTCACACGACGTACAACTTCGCTCAGCAGATGACCGAAGCTATAAGCATGATACGCCGATGCCGTGCCAGGTTCCCACCAGGGCGCCTGGGGGGCTAGCTTTGCAGCGGATGTGACGGGGTCACAGATCTCGTCCATGGTGACCTTGTCGTCCCAGCCGGCGACGCCGGAAGTGTGCGACAGCAAATGACGGATCTCGACATTCTCTTTTCCATTGGCGGCGAACTCGGGCCAGTATTTGGACACTTTGTCGTAGACGGAAATGACGCCACTATCGACGAGCATGAGGACAGCGAGACTGCTGAACATCTTCGTGCTCGAGGCCACTCCGACGATGGTATCCTCAGCCCAGGGCTGTTTAGTTTCCGGATTCGCGTAACCGCCCCAGATGTTGACGACATCCTCGCCATCGATGTTAACGGCTATAGAGGCGCCGGTCTCTTCTCCTGAATCGACGAACTGCTGGAGAAGAGAACGAACCTTTCCGAACTGTAAAGTGCAGCTCCCGTGCACTTCAGCCATGGCGCAGATTACGAAAATTATAGAATATAATGATTATAGGTATATTGTGAAGTAGGATTAGACCAAGTGGCAGTATCTGAGCGATTACACCTAATAGTGGAAATGTAGAGGGCGGATTGAGGGCGCCGAGAAAGTTGAGGGGATATTTTACATGTATATATAGAAGATATTGAGGCTACATGGGCTTATATCTGATACCTCGTTGGCGTATATGGGACTTTGATGCTTGTTATTGAAACCCCAACTGACTCCCACTCAACCGAATCAAAACCATGGGGGTTGGACTCCACCGGTGGCCCTGTAACTCGGCGAAATAAATATCGGCGTGCCTGAAAGGGACATTACCCTCTGATGGGTAGTTTTGCCGCGTGATTGGGATGTTTTGAGTTGTCTACATAGGGCCTAGCTGTCCCGATTCTAGTCCTTTCCGGACGCCGAGTCTGTAAGCGGGGCCGTGGTGCCACCCGGTACGTGACTCATGCCGTAGTATTAAATTTATAGTGGTCCTATACCACCTGATCTAAGCGAGTTATACCTAACTGATTGATTGCATGGAGGATTTGGCGCAGGCTGACTGATAACATAATCGAGTACAATGAGAATGCTCCTGGATGGACAATCAATAGGGTAAAGAGACAAGAGAAAAAGGTCGGCAATAAACTATAGAGCGTATACGAGTAGTATTCTTCAGGGACCGCCCGCAAACAATCGACTATGGAAGATGTTTTCCGTAAGTAATATATGCCCAGCGTCGATGTTGACAAAACCAAAATGTTTCCGCCCGGGATTGAACCGGGGATCTTCTGTGATCATCAGATACTAGACCAAAGTCTTAGTTCAATGTAAGACAGACGCCCTAACCACTAGGCCACGAAAACTACAAGTTTTATTGGTTATCGACCAATCAATAAACAGTTTGCCTCCTAAGCCAGGTCTTATCCCTCACAGCAAAGACAATGTGGCATCATCTCTACATATTTGTTCTTACGAACTCGTCACAAGTTTCACAAACTTTGATCTTGCCACTGGAATTCTAATTATGGTGGAGGGTCGGGGTGTGTGCCTCATAACTCACCTTGAAATGCTATTATCAAACAAGCCGATAAATCTATATCAAGTTTAAGGGATGGTACGAAGGACAGTACCTTACGCTAGCTTCAAACCCGTTGCCGACCCTTTTCTTTGGTTGCATATATTGTCAAAATGAGTTATATTCTCGTCAAATGTCATCCATTCACCAGTCAAAATATCTTTTCATAACAAGGCTCCCCGGGAGGAATTCCACACGATTCCTGCTATATTGGGACTTCCGGCGCAACTCTCTCCCAGAATGCACATCTCTCTTTGAGCTGGACTAGTTTCGCAGTCGTGAACCCAGCACTATCGATGACCCATTCCTGCTCCGTCTTCAAGTCCGGTAATCCAAGAATGTCGGTTCCTGTCAGTTTCAGAGCGTTGGGATCGCCGGTCATGAAGAACGATGCCAAGGCGCCTATCCATTCAAGATTCAGCAGGTTGCTCGTAAGCAGCTCTGTCTCCTGAGTTGAGCAGGGAGGAATATAAAGAGACTCGGTTACAAACCTGCGTAGCCTTTATAATGTAGAGGATCCTGCTTTTGGGCTGCATTGACGGTGTTCCACTGGCCATGATCTCTCGTTAGCAAATAACCCCAGCGGCGAGAAACATCCGATGCGTTAATTTCACATACCCAATAAACATCAGAGGCATGCTGCGCTGGAGAGATCGTGTACTCTCCAATCCAGCCACCGTCGCTCGCACTGCCCGCCATCCAGTACGCGGGACACGCGAGCGTCGAGTCTCTGTAGATCAGACCAGCCCTCGTGAACGTGTCGTTGTAGCCCGCGACGTGTTCTGCGCCCCCCACCTCGGGGTATAGCTCCTTCAACAACGTATCCAGCTCGGCCCGTGAGAGTGTCGGGAGATAGCCCGAAACCCATTGCTCGAAAGAAACCGCCGACGCGTTGAACGGCGGCGTGCCCGTGTCTGAAGTGCTCTTCAACCCCGACGGGACGAAGTTCTCGCCCTCGTGGGTGTTGTACATCCCATACCCAGCAACGATACTCCCTTTTCGACGTGCCGTCGCGGTGGAAAGTGGCTCTCGTAGGAAAATACCATCGATCACGGGTCCCCACTCGAATGTCGACGTGGTGTACTTATGACTATCGACAATGGCGAGGCTCGCGTCGCGGATAGTCTGCACGCCCACGCTCTTAAGACACTTCAGGCTCTCTGGCCCCGCGCAGCCCGTGAGGTTTGCAAGGGTGTCATATCGCCACTGAGCTTCGGGTGCGTCAACGCGATACGTCTTGGGCCAAAACGGACTCGAAGCGAGAGCTTGTCGAAACGGCGGCTCATTTGCCTCCTCGCGCCTATTTCTGTCCTTGGCGCTGCTCTCGTGATCCGCGATGGTCTGCGCGAGCACGCTGCCGCCGCCCGCAGACTGGCCCCAAATGGTAATCCTGTCGGGATCGCCGCCAAAATGACTGATGTACTTCCTCGTCCAGCGCAGCGCCATCGCCTGGTCCAACAGGCCCGTATTGGCGTCCGAGAACGGGTCTTCCGCAACTTCTCGGCCCGGGAGGAATCCGAACGCGTTCACGCGGTAGTTCGGATATACGAAGATCATATTACTCGCATCGGAAACATTGAGAATGGGGTAGGCGGATGGTGGAAGGGTGAATGAAGCTGACCCCTGGATGAAACCGCCGCCGTAGAAAGTCACGACGACTGGTCGTAGCGGCGTGTCCCGCGTCCAAGGCCGGCCGTATAGTCCGAGGTAGAGGCAGTCTTCTGAGCCGTTGACGGTCCGTTGCGGGCACATGTCAAACGTTTGGGACGAGTCGTGAATGCCGTGAGTGATTGGCAAGGGTGGCTGAGGGGCCCGGAACCTGTAAGGTGAGTGCGCATGAGCAATCTTACTGTGGTGGTCAATCATTCAAAAAAGAGTGTAGAAGTGAGAATTTCCAGTATATCTACCTGTTCTGATCTATGGGCGGCGCAGCGAACGGGATTTTCTGCCAGTATGAGATATTGTAGACAGGGTCAAATGCTCCTTGAAACGTTCCATAGTCAAGGGCCGCCGTGAGGACCTGTGAGTCGCCGACTTCTACGAGAAGGGAAAGACATATCGCACCTATGAGTGAGAGCATAATCACAATCGAGAAATCAGATAGTCAATTCTTCCTTGTGAAGTCTAGAGGATCGCTGTTGTTTATATCCCTGTAAAATGCTGCCCCATCTACCATTTATCCGGTGGGTTTGTTATGCACGATTCCCTTCAACCTGGGGTAGATGGAGAATTTGGAGAACCAAGCCAAGAGTATGATTCTTAGCTCGGTTCATAATGCCCCTTTCCCCGAGTTTAGTATTTCCCGTAACCTCTTTATCATGGGGTATTTCTACCGCTTAAGGTATACCCAAATACCTGCATTATCCGCTGATGATGACCTCAGTTCATAATAGGCGTCGTCTCGTAAACACTTGTTGCTCATTTTACCGCATTCGACTCTTCCGGATAGCTCCCCTAGAAGCATAAGTACTTCATATCGCAAGTTGCTTGGCGCCTACCACCTTCACGTTCGTATTGCGTTTGTAGTAGTAAAATAGAGGCGCGCCACGGCGGGAAACGGTGCCTCCTACCCAGTAATTCATTCTTGGTCCAGGTCCTGCTGCATTTCGGTCTCTGAAAAAAAACTGTTAAACCTTGACTTCCATAAAGTGTACATATACTTACGCCAAAGACGGTTGGCGGAATCCGTTATGACTTGGGCTTTAGCGAGGAGTTTCTCCTCATACTTTTGTTCGTCTTTAGACTTGTCTCGCAACTTCGTTGGTTGCGCCTGTGACCACACTTAGTTCATCGCTGTAAATGGGTAGACTAAACGCACCTGCATGAGGATAGGCACAAGCTCCTTGGGATCTGCATTTGCTAGCGATGCGACAGTCTTAAATCCGTTGTCATAGAAGACCCGGGCTGTGCGACTCTTGATGAAGGTGACTTTAGCGAGGGCTAAAAGATCTGCCTTAGCTCCGGCTCTGAGGCGATCCGAGAAATGATCTAATATAGCTGCCATGGCGCTGATGGGGATTAGCAACTTGAAGTTTTTTTTAAGCTGATTAGCATTGCTCGGAACTTACCCCCAACCCATTTGCTCGCAGAATTTGATCATTCCTGCTGCAAACCCGTGGCATGTCTGCTCTAGAGTCTGCACAGTACCTCTTGGCATATCATATTTGCGAGCTACCACATGTACAGGCATTTCGTTACACAGATCCCTCAGCTGTAGAGCAAGGTAGAACCTTCGGTAAACACGAGCTGTTTCTTTTTCGGTAGAGTTTGATTCTTTAAGACTTCCACCCTGTGCCCTATGATATACGTTAACGAGTTAACGCTGGTGAAGAGAGATTCCACATACATTCTGTTAATCACCGTGGGTTTTAACCCAAGAAACGTCATAACCCGAAGTCCGCTTTTGTCAAGTGCTTCCATCTCGGATCTAAAAACTTGCCAATTAACAGTTACGGATAGCTCCTGAACAGGCGTGAAAGTGTAAAGAATGTGCATTTCGCCATCCATCACGAACGCCCGCAATGCTCGCTGCATTTCGCGGTGAACGAATGCACCATCCGCGGGTTCAAGCGATGATGCAACAACTGCCTTTCCTAGTTGTGTTGCAACATAAGAATCGAAGCTGTCATGTTGAATGAAGCCCATTTCAAGAAGATCTTGTAGACTGGATGTGACATGATCCTGGATCTGGTCTGATGCGCTAGAGTGGTTCAGAAGCGTTTTCTGAATATAATCATTGATAGACTCTCGTGAGTTCACCAGTCGTATGGACACGACTTCCAGCAGTGCTCGTTGAATACGGTGCTTGTCAGTTGTCAAACCGCTTGATATATGTGGCAGGTCTGCATTCATCAACTCGACCACATCTTCTAGGTCAGATTTACGACAGCAGAGATAAGTCTCGCCTATCTCGTCTTTACCCTTCCTCCCTGCACGTCCACGCATTTGACGCAACATCGAAGGTCCAATTAAGTCACGACCCATTCGTGCGTTATGGAGGATAACTCTCCGAGCGGGAAGATTTATTCCAGCGGCAAGACTACATGTCGCTACCACAACCTTCAGCGCTCCGCCATCATAGGCGGTGGAGATCAAATCGCGCTCTTCGGTTGTCATCCCTGCATGGTGAAAAGCAACGCCAGCCATGATAGTCTCAGCTAAGATAGGATCCAGACCCGTCGACAAACTGCGCAGATCCTCCAGAAGATCTGATCGCTTCTCAGAAACGGTATAATCCAGCTCGTTAGTCTGGGGTAGCACCTTGCTAATGAGACGAGCATCTGATTCGCATCCTTGGCGGCTGCTACAGAAGACGAGAACACCGTAGCCAGACCTTGCCGTTTCATTCGCCAGCGCAACGACAGCATTCAAGACAGGGTCTTGAAATTCTTTGTGCTGACTTATATGTATTATCCTCACTGGTTGACTGTCTGGCTCGAGGGCACTGCTAGGGTTCTGTCGTAGTTGGCTAGCGGTTTTCAGCATGCTTCTTGTGCTCGATGCTGGGTAGATCTTCCCTTCATAGACAAGGTGCTCCTCCACGGGTATAGGGCGATAAAAGGTCCTATATGTGTGGGCATCAAGCCACGCTGACAAGACTTCCATGTTCTAACGCCGTTAGTAGCCGGTAGTAGAACGCCAGCAGCCAAGCAATACATACAGCTAAGGTGGCACTCATGCCAATGATCTGGACGCTGTGCTCCAGGCTCATCAGCTTGGTAGCTATGAGCTCCATCAAGTAGCCTCTGTGGTCATCATCAACCATGTGTAGCTCGTCAAGTACTACAG